TAAGCACTAACACCAATTAAGGGGAATACTCTTTCTGTCCATTGAAATGATAGGGAGGCATTAAGTTGCACCAAGGGCAGCTATAATCTAAAGCTAGAAAGGGTATGGTCTGTATTTGAGGATCTCACACATAAAAATTTCTCATTTACTTTTCACAACTTTGCCTTAGAAGAAACTTGAGACTCAAAAAACTTAAAACAATATTTACTGAAGGAATTGATTTAAAAATCTTAAAACTGGTTAAATGTCATAAGATTTGGTAAGGAGCCATTAATATTCAAACATCCTAATCTTAAAAAAATTATAAAGTGTGTTGAACAAAATATTGTACCATTTAAACATAAATTTTGCAGTATTTTTTTAAAGCCATAGACTAGAACAAATTCCTTTTGAAAACAACCACTGAGTTTAAAACATACTAAATTCAAGGTAATGATTACCTGTAGAAGGGGTATATCGGGGTTAAGATCAGAGAGAGTACAAAAATGATGTCAGTTCAATCTGTTTTGTCATATATTAAAATTACACAAAGTATGGAAAGTATTAGGCAGCAAGAGTAAATGTGCACAGGTGTTTATTATATGCTCTTCATATTTTTCTGCATATTTGAATACTTTGTCTTTAATGTGGGGCAACCTCTTCTTGTCTTTAACATTTGTACATTATTTGTAAAATATAAAACAAAAAAAAGATAAAGGGAATAAGTGTATTTAGGAAAATAAAGAATAACTCCAAAATTAAAGGTCTTGGTAATTGGTACACATACTCTAATCCTGTGACTTAAAATTGAGATTTTTCTCCTGAATATGTCTTGAAACAGATATTTAGCCAAAATAGAAACCCATCTATGTTCAATTTCCCTAAACAGTTCCATATCCTTTTCACCTGAATGAAAAACATGTTTTCAGATTTATGCTATTTAAAAATATTAAGGCAGTGAGGAAATCTTGACGTCCTGAGCTATTCATGAGACCATCTTTTCTTTTCACAGCATTCCAGGACTTCAAGTGTTAGAATTTTCTCCAAGTTGCACAGCAACCTTTAAAGGTATGTACATAGAAGATCTAATTTTTAATGAAGTTCATAATTACGTATCTATGGTTTTACTGGGCTATCAAATAATTCAAACGAAATATAAGGCTAAATCCAGTCTCCTTTCATTTGGCTTTGGGATGCATTATAGACTTGCTTTCTTCATCTCTTTGCTTTACCAGATGCAACACTTTTTAAAAACATGAAAATATTCCTCTGTAGCAAAAAGACAAGACACCAGGGTATTATTTATTGCTGGTAACTAGATCTGGCAGACATGAAACTGGCATTGCAACTTCTCCTCCTACAAATTTATCAAGTGCATAGTATTTCTTCATTCATACTATCTGAGCTTCACAGTACCCTGTGAGGTGGGAAAAGCGGAATTTATTGCCTACATTTTGTATAAATACATAACGGATACTAAGACTTAGAAAAGTAACTTGTCCTTTTCCTTCAAACTGTATGGTGACCCAAAATAGAACTAATGAACAAATTAACCACCACATAATTAATAAAATTCATAAGGTTAATATTAAAATTAATTTTGAAGTTAAAATGCCTCTAAAGTATTAATATCTCTAATGTTAACTAAATATAATGATTCCTTATTATCCCTTGTTAAGCTAGGGTGTTCTTAGTTGCTTCAAATACTAAATTAGATTTCTAACATTAAATATACATTAATCCATTCCTCAAGTATTTTAAAAAAATCTTTATGTCAAAAAAAAATCGATTTTTCTCTGTTGTAGAAAAAAAAATCAAGTTCTCTCTTTAATATTCAAGGAAAGGCCTCTACAAACAAGCAGCTGTATCTTAAGAACAGGTCACTGTTAGCTCGTTCACTCCTCTTATCTTAGAGATATCTAAGAGAAAAGACAGGCATCTAAGTGGTAATAATGACAAGGACAAGCTGTTTTCACATTAACACTTAAAATAATTTACTATATGCTAAGGACTGAGTTAATATATGAAAATATTCTAGAATGTCAAAACTCCCACTTCATGGGCTTGAACTTTGGAAGGAAGGTTGCACTGGAGTGCACTGTAGAAAGCTAAAGAATCTGTTACTCCTAGGCAGGAAAAACTTGGGCTTCTGGTCACTCCCCACTCAGAGACACTGGGAACTCTTCCCAGCTCAGTAAGGAAGCAACCTCATTTCCCACACACATTTCAGGACCTCTGTTTTCTTCTTACAAGCCAATCCCTGCCGCCGTAAGGGACTATCTGAAAAGGGGTAGCACCTACTCGATTTCCTGGTGGCTCAGATGGTAAAGAGTCTGTTTGCAATGCAGGAGACCGGGTTTCGATCCCTGGGTTGGGAAGATTCCCTAGAGATGGAAATGGCAGCCCACTCCAGTATTTTTGCCTGGAGAATTCCATGGATAGAGGAGCCTGGAGGAGTACAGTCCAGGAGGTCGCAAAGAGCTGGACACAACAGATTGACTTTCACTTCACTTCAGCTATTTCAACTACTGCCCCAATCATTCTGAGAAAAACTTTACTTGAAGAAACTGCTCAATTACTAGTCATTCATGGTACAGGCTTTTTTTTTTTTTTTTAAATAGGTATTAGGCACATCTACTGTTGCTAGAGTTCTTCTGTACTACAATGATACTTGAAAAAAAAAATTGAGATTACTTAGCTTTCAAATCACCCTCATGTTAACTCAAATGTACACAATTATTTTTATTTACTAGACTCTCTTTTTTGGAGATGACTAATTATTGCATTAATATAGCACACTGAAAGGTACTGCATACTCCTTCACTTGTTTTTAATTTCCCTAATATGTGAGTTTTGCATATTTGTCAGTTATAACAGAACAAACTTAAGGAACATGAGTAACTGCACAGTTATCTGACACCAATATGCCTAACTACTGACAAAAGTGAGCCCCCCCAAAATATTTTAATACAAAATAGTGCCCTAACTGAAACCATTTAAAAAGTGAAACGGTAATATCACAAATTACCCTTAAGTTTTTAAATACCCTAATATGCATCTTCCCTCCCACCCAAAGCAAAAGCAGATGGTGTGATTCTGTTTCTTTTCAGTAACATCAAGTATCCTTTGTTAAAACTCACAAAGTAGGAAATCTTTAGCAGACACAAAAGATGAAAGATGAAACTGCAGCAAGAGAGCATGGCAAATCCAAAAGATCTATTAGTGCAGAAGTCTACTGGAAAAAAAACAACAACAACAAAAGAGATAGAAAGAATTAACAAGATACAATAAAAGTTATGTCTTTAAAGCAGTAGATTGTAACAGGGTGGGAAATGTTTAATATGTGTCCTCCTGAAAAGCAGTTACCATCTTTCAAATTAAAAAAAAAAACCAGCTGGTATATTTTCACAGCATCTAGATTTATTTACGGTATAAAGTCATAGAATTGTATTACTATTACTCCTTTCCCACCCTGGCAGAGAATAAACATGAATTCAGAAGCACAGTGGAGTGAAAACAAAGAGAGAGAAAAGGCAGCAGAGAAAGACAGAAGAGGTGAGTACAGAGCTACAGAAGTGTTTATTGAGCATGCTACAGAGGTAAGCAGAGTACACACAAAAGGAAATTAAACAACCATCAAACCTCCCAACTTTGTTAGAAAATTAATTTTTAATTGTGCCGCTTTCAAACTATACTGAATTTTACATTTCTAAAGATGTAAAAACTCAACTAATAGAAAATATACATGACCATTCTGTCTACATAGATAACAGAATCTATGAATCTTGAAACTAAGTACATCAATTTCAAAAAAGTATTGGTCATTTAAACAGAATCAACAATTCAGATTGACAAGAACTGTTCAAATTAATTTGACCTGTAGATTCTGAGCCATGTTTTTATTAAAGTCAGATCTATTCCTAAATACAAAATATTTTGAAGATTTATTAAAACTGAATATTACAATGCAAGGTAAATTAAGACTAAAGGCACATAAACTTTGGTCCCACCTGGTTGTCAGTTTTAGAAAACTGCCACAAAATTAATCTTCCTGCAAATTTTCGCAGTACACTTTCTTTTATCTTTGAAAAATACATGCACCAGTTCCTGAACTAGCTAGACCGGTCTGCACATGCTCAGAAATCCACAACCATATTCCAAATCTTAATTACAAACTAAGGATGGCAATATATATTTAAATGCACATAAGTCATGTCAACTTCAAAAACATCTACGAAAAATATTCAGCCACAAACAAGACATTACTTAGTGCTGACATTTATATGATACGTCCCACAAGAGTGTGTACAAAAAGGTTAAGATTCCACAATGCTTTTCCACATAGGGCTCAAACTTACAGAAATCACTTTGTTGTCTTAAGAAAGTAATACTCTGCATCTTGTTAATTTTAACTAATGCCTACATTCATAACTGAATCTAGACCAGAATTGTGAGATATAAAAGGCCAATGTTTTTTTAAAGCAATAAAGCCTAAGGTAGTAAAAACTGGAAAAAAAAAAATGCTGCTTTATTCTTTCAGTATCATGTATCTTATCTGATTAAATAAAGAAATATGACAAGCCAATAATTCAAAATAAGTTCCAAGCAGGAGGAAAAAAAAACTTAACCTTTTTACACACCCCTGCCTAAACATATTGTTAATTCCCATTTAACAATGTGCCCTAGACAACCAATTCCTTTTTTCTAGTAAATGCACAATAGCAACACTAGTTTCCTTTTTAAGGCACGTATGTCAACTAAGTTGAAAAAGGAAAGTAAAATTAAACTAAAATTTCAAACAGACAAAAATGGCTTCCCTACAGAACAGATGAAAGAGAGCAGTTAATAACTCTGCCTTTACATACGCCATTTCATTTTATAACCAAGGAATGATAACAGCATGGAAAAAAAAAAAAAAAAAACAACAAAAAATCAAACTCTGGTCCCCACTTTTCTGAACAGTCAATAGGTGATGACACCAAACAATGTGATTCACCCTCAATCTTCATCTCCCCCCCTTTTTAAATTGTTGACTTGGAGAAAGACACTCTCAGATGATGGTTTTCACCAAGGTTATAATTATGAAGATCAATCAAGGCCTGAATAGCTTCTTCCACTGTTGCCATCTGAAGAAGAGCCATTTTGTGATCTCTTCTGAAACAAAATTATAAAATTAGATACTTCATAAAAATCAGAATGGCTTAAATACTTTTGCTTATTCCAGGATCAAAAGATATCTAGAAACGAAAACAACTACTCGAAGAAAACTTTTACTTCTATCAAGTCACTAATTTAAAGACAAGAAAGCTTGCTTACTGAAAAAACTTAAATGCTTTCACAGTGCCCCCAGTGTTAGCAAACAGTGTTCGGAGATCTTCTTCTGCTACTGAAGGACTGGAAAAATTAGATGGAAAAAAGAGTAAAAACATTATTAAAAAAATTTTATATTTTATTCCTAAAATGTATATCCTTAATAAACTACTCCGTCTTTAATACTTACGGGATATTGGATAGGTGAAGGGTTGCAGAAGGAGGGAAAATATTCTGAAAATTTTTGGATCCAGGTTTCTTAAAACGATGCAATGGGGAATTACCAAAATCTTTTGTTAGCCCTTGATCATCAAGTCCCTCTCGAGGTAGTTGTACAGTCTGATGTTTAGACAGAGTAACACGAATAATTTTTCCATACATCTTCTGTCCATTAAGATGATTCATGGCTATAAAGAGGAAGAATGCCTATTAATAAACAATATCACCATTCAAAGAAAAAATATTACAATAATTCTTAGAATACTTGAAATACCTAATTTTGCTATGGTTTTAAAATAAATCACGAATTTACAATAGCCACTGGTGACAAAACAAATTCATTTGCACTCAAAACGGCACTGAGGCAAAGAAGCCCAGCTTCTTTCATAGAATGAAAATCCAGAATGAGTATCTTCCTTGACAGGCCTGCTGATAATGCCCCAGAAACTTTTAACTTTTTCTCCCTTCTGCTCAATATCCTAACTGCCAAGTCCTACGAAACCCTTCCTCCTAATTATCCCTCAAATTCATCTGTTTCTACACTTTCCACTGCCATTACTTTTTATCTGTATAACTCAAATCAGTCTCCCAATTTGTCTTGTTGGATTTTTCTCTATGTTCCTCCATTCTATACAAATCTGTATCACTACCTGCTTAAAATCCTTAGGGATGAAGACAACTTATTCTTCAACATATCTTCTACACTTCTCAGTCTGGCCCTAACATCTTTCTCAAGCCTCCCTGAATAAATATTTTATTGATATTTTATAATACTAGTAACTTTTTTAGTGTTGAGAATCAAATGGTAAGATAAGAACCATCCTGACCCTCATGGAACTTACAGTATCTTAGTACTATCCTCCTTGTACTTAAGTTTTCAGGTGCACAAAACACATTTTTTTAAACAAATACTAGTATTTTATCTTTAGCCTGATGCATGCTTTTCTATTTATAACAATTTCCTATCTCCTTCACTATCTTTCCTAAGCTATTCGTGTTACTTCCTAAAGAGGACTCTTTCCTTCACTCTTCAGAAAAGGTTCAGAACCTTACTAGATAGTCCCCATACAGTTATATATCTTTTTATAAATTCAACACATTTTAATTATTATCCTCCTTCAGACTGTAAGATACATGAAAGCAGGAACCAGTGTCTCTACCCCAGCACACAGCACAGTGCCTAAACACAGAACATCACATGCCTACTTCTTGAGGCAGCAGCTGGGTTACTTTTGAACTAAATGAACTGGTCTGAGATTAGAGAACAGTTATATGTTTTATGTTTTATTCAAGTAGTCACAACTGAAAAAAACCATGTCATAAGTCATAATAGTTTAGCTAAACTGAACGTCTATTTGACTACTCAAATCAAAGTATTAGAGTATTAACAACAGAGAGGTAAAGGCAATATGGAAGAGCAGGGAATTGAGAACAAAATCCCTACTCTCAAATGTTTTTAATTTGATTAGTACACTACAGTACACAGTCTGACACAGGAGATACCCAGAACTTGTTAAATCCATGCATCTTGTCATACTTACTTGTATAGAATAAACCAGTTAAATATAAAACAGGTCTGAAAAGGAAAATGCTATAAAAGTATAAGGTACCATTCTGAAAAATCTTTTTCATTTATAGCTTTCCTAATTTGTAAAAACAAATTTACTCTCCCAGTTATAAGATAAAGAGGTACTAAGGATGTAACGTACAACATGACAAATATATTTAACACTGCTGTATGTTATAAATACTCCCGCTATAACACATTTTAGAGAGTAGGTAAAGATCTGTTATGAAAAACTTAGTATACTTTTGAGATGGCAGCTACACATGATCTAAAAACAGTTGAGGCTCTTTTGTAAGTAGTTCTTGAAAATATGAATTGGAGAAATAATTATTTTAACAAAGAACTACTCTTTGGTACTTAGAATTCATTTAATCACTGAAGATCAGTATACTATTTCAAACATAATTTACAAATTCTATTATTCCTAAACTACCTAATTTAGAAAATCCTAGTATATTAGTTAAATAGGCTATAGTAGAAATGGAAACATGTTTAATGTTTGCAAATTTTAAAACTCTGGTCTAAAATGATTTAACAGGGCCTTTAAGATTTGCAATAATTCCATTCACACTTGAATACTACTGACTATACCTGCCATTTATTTCTCCCATACTACTTTCTGAGCATAAAAATATTTGCTTATATTATAAAACAACTGAGTATTTCCCAAATAGAGTCCCATGAAAACCAAAAAGAGAGTCCATAAACAAAGTATATTATATTAAAAAAAGTTTCACTTATTTTTTTCCATAGCACATCCTAGTTTTGCATAGGATTTGTGTTTTAAAGGATTTAATGGTGTGAGTCCGTATTTTTATGGACATATACTTCAAGAAAGCAAAATCTAACCTAGCAGCAATGAGAAATTTGCCACTACATATAGTCCAAAAACTATGTCATGCTATTAGTAAGCAAAGCTTTAATGAAAAGATAAAAATTTTATCTCTTATAATTTATAAAAATTAGCCAAAAAAGATTTTACAATGTAAGTAAATACTGTTAGGCAGTGAATTGTATTATCCCAAACTTCATACACTGAAGCTTTAACCCCTCAATGTGACTATCTGGAGGCAGGGCCTCTACAGACGGAATTTAGGTTAAAAGAGGTCATAAGGGTGAGGCCCTAATCCAGTAACACTGATGTCCTTGTAAGTATGGGAAAAGATACCAGCACCTTAGAGGCTGAGGAAGGCTCCCAGGAAAGGCCATGTGAGGACACATGGAGAAGGGAGCCAGTCTGCAAGCCAGGAAGAAAAGTCCTCTCCAGAAACCAAATCTGTTGTCACCTAACTACTGGTCTCCAGAACTTAAGAAAACAAATTTCTGCTTTTTCAGTCACTCAGTTTGTTGAATTTTGTTATGGCAGCCCAAGCAGACTAATACAAGTATAGTAAAAATTAAAGCATAACTTAAACAGTCCTTATATAAAAAACCAAAAAGTATCCAGAAGAATTTGATGAACAGGGACTTTCAGCCATAATGACTGTGTATCCCTTATTTATAAGGGTAATGTGGAAAGACTGAAAGCAAAAGGAGAAGGGAGTGGCAGAGAATGAGATCGTTAGATAGCATCACTGATTTAAAGGACGTGAATTTGAGCAAATTCTGTAGACAGCGGAAGACAGAGGAGCCTGGCGTGCAGAGAATCAAACACAACTTAGCAACTAAACAACAAACCACCCAGAGCTCACACAGTGAGAAAAAAGAAGTCAAAAGTCGAGAATGCTCTGTCAACTATGAAACACTGCAAAAGACTGCTTACAAGTACGTAACGATAATGGCAATGACTATCCCTAACCAGAGTACAGAAGTGCACATAAGCAGAAAAAGAAGAAAAGAATAATGGGCATCTATGACATAATCAAGCAGCTTCCCTGGTGGCTCACATGGTAAAAAATCTGCCTGCAATGCAGGAGGAGACCTGGCTTTGATCCCCGGGTCAGGAATATCCCTGGAGAAGGGAGTGGCAACCCACTCTAGTATTCTTACATTTCATGCAAGAACATTTCATGGACAGAGGAGACTGGCAGGCTACAGTCCATGGAGTCGCAAAGAGTTATATAGGACTGAATGACTAACAAACACACAGACACACGACGACACAATCAGCACTTTTATATAATTTCCACTAAAGACAGACATCTCCATTTTTTTAAATTGAAAGCCAGATATGTAAAATTTTACACATTGCCTGCTGCTGCTGCTAAGACACTTCAGTCGTGTCCGACTCTGTGCGACCCCATAGACGGCAGCCCACCAAGGCTCCTCTGTCCCTGCGATTCTCCAGGCAAGAACACTGGAGTGGGTTGCCATTTCCTTCTCCAATGCATGAAAGTGAAAAGTGAAAATGAAGTCGCTCAGTTGTGTCTGACTTCTTAGTGACACCATGGACTACAGCCTATCAGGTTCTTCCATCCATGGGATTTCCCAGGCAAGAGTACTGGTGTGGGTTGCTGGTAATACACTGCCTGGGCTACCCTAACAGTTGGTAAGAAACTGAATTTCAAACTTCTATCTGATGCCAAAGGCTAAAAGGTCTGGTTTATCATGTTGTTAGTCTGTGAGTCTCACTGGATATAACAGCAAAAATACACTAGTTTTTACGCCAAAAATGGTAAATTTCAAAATTAATAATGTGAATACACATGGTCTGAGGTACCATCATCCCTAAATCTTAATGAACAGAATTATAAGCTAAGATCATACTGACATTTACAGTCAATCACACTGTGAATATGCAACTACCTTCTGGATTTATGTGATTTGGCTTTATGTATGAAGTTGAATGAGATGCTAATTAAGTGATCAATTATTTATCTAATAATCTAAGTGCAACTTGTTGAAGTACATTTTAAGGTTCCAAAAAGGATTAAAGTGGGGCACTTGGTTTAAGTTTTTCATTTTATAGTAACCTGGTATCTCTAAAATATACTTCATGTAACTCTACTAAGTTCAGTCAAATACTTTCAAATGACCTTAGAAGAATTAAAACTAACATGGCGTTAATCTGGATTCTATGGACTATATAAACAGTTAACTTCAATTATAGGGAGTAACTAGAAATGAAAAATGCTAAGAATCTTTTAATACGTGTATCATAATTCTTAGGTGAAACTGTTATTTCAATCTTGAAGGCAAAACCTTTTTCCATTAAACTCCAAGCAAGAAATGGTAAGAGAATGAATAGCACAAAAATACAAATATGTTCATCATGTACAGCTATTCACATTAAAATGTGAAAATTAACATGACACTGTGAACCCTGGCTATTAATAACCAGTTTCTTACTGATATAAAGGAGTTTGTTTTTATTCACAGGTTTACATTATACATTTGAAATCAGATTGAAGCCATATAGATGACACATAGTTTAATCTTACCCAGTTGTGACTGGTTTCCATCAGCCATCTGTATTAGAGCACTGTCTTTCTTATTGTACAAAATCTTCACACGCTGCACATCTCCATAAACACCTTTTTTGGAGTCACAGAGAGGTAATCCAAAAATGGAATTAATTTTTACGTGCAAGTCAGCTAAAGATTATCTTTCTGACATATTAATGAAACATTCAGACATCAACATGATCACTCATTCAAACTCATCATTCTCACAAATGAATAAAGAAGATCAAGATTTTGAACAGTGAATTTTGAAAAGAATAATTTCTGATAAACCCTCAAAGCTATGTGAATGATATTAAATTAAAGACCATGCAAAATAAATCAGCATGCATTAAAACAAATTTTGTGTCTATGGAAAGTTTTAAATAGCAAAGAAAAATAGCAAAAGATTTACTATTCAACTTTAAGCCAAAGTGCTAGCTACAAATAAGAATTAAGGTGAAACAAAAATCAAATCAATAATAAAAGTATAGTGCTAACAATAACATACCGAAGAGGGTAAACAGACTTTGGGGCGTAACCATCTTTAGAAGGAGAGAAGAGCAAGCAGCGTAAGACAAGAAGAGAGAAGAGTCGAGGAAGAGCGGAGATGAACAGATCATCCATAACGAAGGGTGGTTCCCGCAGAATGGTGAGGTGGTCATGGATCATGGTTCAAGGCGGTTAATTGGGGCAAGTTGGTCCGAGGAACATTTGTTCAAGCACAGAAGCATGAACATAGGGAATGGAGACAGGGAATGAAGACAAGGACAAGGAAAATAAAGGATAAGACAGGGAAGGGAATGGGCATTTGGGAAAAGACAAGGAAAGGGAAGGTGAACACACAGGGAAAAGGATGAAATGGGGAAGGGAAACAGCAATGCAGAAGAAAAAAATAAGGAATCGGGGAACAAAAAAAAAATAAAATATAGGTCAGTACATAGGAAATGCAGGATTTGGTCAGAAAATGGTTGGTTTATGTACTGTACAAGAAAAACTGAGTAAAAATGTAGTCATCCAAGACAAATATGGGTAAAGTACATCTATATCAAAGAGTAAATTACAGCATTTCATCTCAACATAGGGAAGGAAAGCATGCATAGGAATTTTAAACTTTGAACTTTTAACTGCATAAGCATGGCTGGTTATGAAATGCAGGCAAAATTCTTAAAAAGAAAAACAAAGGCACTCTGATTCAAACATTTTAGCATGCACAACTGTGAATGACTATAGTATTAAATGATAAAATAGCTTAATGTTCGTATTAACAGAGGCCGATTAAAAATGAAACAAATATTCAAATTAGACATCATAAACTGATACATAGAGCTTCCCACATTTCATACCAGCTTCCATAGCAATCAAAATAAAATATACCAGACATAAAATGTACAACTAAAGAAAATAACTCAGCAATAAATTTTATTTAACAGGGTGGGAGGGGTTTGGGGAGAGGTAAAGTTGAAAAATATTTTTAGAAGACAATGACTAATAACTGCAAAGAAAAAATTACTAAGAAAGACTGGAAGAGTGCCTCGTCAAGATCTTTGGAAGAACCTTCAAAGAAAAATGTATTAGAGTAGTTCACATAAAATAAGATTTAAAAAAATGCAATGACACATAAGCATGAAATGAACAAGCAAATAATTAGAAAAGGCAAAGAGCAAAATTGTTTTACAGTTACATCTGCAAATTAGATATTTGCCTTTGAGAACAACAAAAAGATAAAAAGCCAAACTACAGTACTTCACCATATTTTTCTTAGGAAAAATAGGTAGTTAGGTTAAAAATATATATATATATATATATATAAAGAGATATGACTAGCTACAGAAATAAAGTATTACCTAAACAAGTACATAGATTTTATTTGGAAGTAGAAACACACAGAAAATACTTTGACTAATGAATGTACATAAAAAGAAAGGCAAGTGCAAAATGAAATAAACATGAAAAACTTTCACAAATGAAATGGAGTTAAAAAACAGACACTAGAAAATTATTTTACTAACCTCTTCATTTAAATTGCTAACCAACAGGACTGTGTTGCCACCAGCTGAGACTCCAGGCATACCCACTCGGCCAGCAGCAGCTGCGGCAGCTGCTGCAGCAGCGTTTGGAATAGCCAAAGGACTCAGAGCTCCTGGAACAGCTGCAACAGGAAGCCCTAATTTTAAAATAAAGCATATTTTACGAAACACACACAAGTCGTTTACAAAAACCAATTTAAGCACGATGGCTGATGGCTTGGGGCTGACCGTTCCAAATGGTTCCTGAAAGTTAATTTTCATAACATTTAGAAAAATTGTTGTTGTTAAGTAGCGGAGAAAATTCACTGGTTTCAATGAAATCATTAAGTATTAGAACCAAGGTACATACCTGTATTATGTCACAATATTAAATATATAACATTCCATTTCCTATGGAAACGCAAACAAAGCAAAAAGAATGTACTTGTAAAATTCAGAGACTTGTAAAATTCACTTCCATGGTTCACATAGGAGTCAAATCTAAAAAAAATAACAAGTGCTATCTTCTTTATAAACTTACTTGAAATCAGACAATTATAGCTCACAAAACATACATAGCAATCCTTCATTCTTAGAAACAAATCATCCTGAACATACATTATATAATGTATTCAACTGACCTAAAGAAAATCTTACCAAAATTTGTTTTCCTTAATTCCATATTCAAGTAGATGTAATATAAGTTTTTCAAATACAATACTTGCCCCACAGAAAGAATAAGAAAAAGTCAATATAGCACACCAGCTTTCTCTTCCAGTATTTTCCTATCCTTTACCTACCAGTTTGAACATTTCCTTCTTATTTCTACTGTTGTACTTTCCAGTCTTACTATTGCTCTGTCATCTTCAGGATTCTTCATTTATTCCATAGAATTCCCTTTGCCTCAGCATCTTTAATCTACTTATCAATAATGAATAAACTTTTATTCCTTTCATCCCTTATATTCTTACATACTAGCTTATTTGTTAATAATTATTAGTTCAGTAAAGAAATAAATTACATTTTTTTTCTTCCCATGATAAAGGAGATAAACATTCAACCTATATAAAATTAATTCATGACATACCTGGGTAGAACAGGCCCTTAGTACTGTTGTCCCATAAGTTCATGTTTTATTTCTTCTTTTCAGCTTTCTTGTACATGTCATAAGGATGGACTGTTAACTCTGGTGTTAGATCTTACTCTTTTAGCCAAGTTTGTTTATGTTTTTACTTTATAGAAACTACTATGACCTTTTACTGGCAGGCTGAAGCTTCTTCAGGATTGACAATTCTTAACCTCTTTAGTTTTCGACTTGTAAACATTTTCCCTCTGATTTCCTTTGATCTTTACTGAGCACCTTTCATCAGTGGAATGGTGTTTCTCATATATGTTCAAGCTCTGGGTGAGTTTATAGTTTTTCTCCCCCAATACAGTATCTTGGGAGTCCCCTCTTTTTAGTATTTCTTCACTTTTATTTTTTAGATTTTTTACTCTTTGTTTTGGAAAATTTCCAACATATACACAAGTACACAGACTAGAATAATGAGCCCCATGTATCCATCACAACTGTTTAAAATAATTACTAACTCAAGGCCAATCTTGTTTCATCCACTCATCAATTTATTTTTAAAGTGACTGCAGAAATAAGGATCTAATTTTAACATAGAAACTCCTCATGTCTAATAATTACTATACATACTAAGTAATCTTTAGCACCTTTTAGGATCTACCACTTTATTCTATGGTATTACTAACTTCTCCATGTTAAATACCATAGATCTCACTATACTTCATAGGTGTTTCCATTTAATATACAATGGATATCTTAAAATGCTGCCAATGTAAAGATACATTCCTAATTCCTAGGTATGTACTCACAGTCATTTTGTTCTGCATATTCTGAGACATGCAGGTTCCCAAATTTATAGTTCTAAGTAATTTATCATTTTTCTTTGTTGCTAACTCAAGAAAAACTACTAATTCATGAAACACGTATAAAACATCAATACATTTGATGTATCAGTCTACACACAACAGTCTAGGTAAACAAACGCTTCCTTTCTACAGAAAATGGTTTCTTCTAAAATACATCTCTACCATGCCAATACACAATTAAACAATCATAAAACTTCACCAAAATATTCAGATGATGGAAATTTTGTTCAAAGAAACTTTAAGTCTAGGATTTGTAATGGAGATACCTTGGTAGTACAATATTACTTAAATTATCAAGCCTTATCATGGAAAAATAATCAGAGAATTAAAAGAATAAGTAAAATTAATTTAAAATAGTAATTAAGAATTAAAGTCTAGGCTAAAGCCCCCTTTTAAGTGTGAAAAACCTGACTTAAATAAAAAGCCAGATGCCAGATTTTAATAAACATTACACTTTAGTAAAAATGAGACTATTAATTCTCTCATGAAATTTTGTGACTCAAAGCAGATACAATTTACCTCCTTCTAGTAAAGTAGCATTGGAAAGCTTAGCAAAAAGTGGAATGTAAGCTATGACGTCCCCAATGTTGTTGCTACTGCCCAAATGCTACTTCACAGTTTCCATATTTCTCCATTTATTCTTACCATGTTGGATCACTTGCTACTAAGCCAGGTGATCTATCCTCTTGCCAAATGATCTTCCTTCATTTTAGGCAGTCCAGAGCATGGTGCAAAATACAGGGCAGTCACTGTCCTCGGTGCCACTAGTGCGTACTTCTCCCTCACTATTCCTTCTCCCAGGCTGGTAACTTAGAGAAACTATTTCAGTCATCTTTTGCAGTTCTAAGTCACTAGAATAGTCTTGTAGTTTTTATTGAACCTTTAAAAGCCTCTGAAGATAGATCCCACAATTTCTTTCAGTATATTCTTCTCTAAAAAATTCTGTCAACCAGGTAAATCTCAAATTCTACTACATAAAAACAAAAACCTACGAAGTATTTCATGATGCACTATTTATACTGTAAGAACTCTGGAAAGGAATTCTGTATTGTATTTTTCATAGTAATGTTAACTTCTAGACATGAGAGAAAACAATACATTCACTATCTTCCTTTTGTAAAAAAACATATAGAACATGTTATATACATTGGTGCTAATGGATTACTTTTAGCTGGAAAAATAATTTTAATGATTAACATCTTTAAGGTAGCAAATGTGCTGGAAAAAACTATCTGTGCATACCGATGATGGGGGATAAAAACACCTGTTTTACTTCTAGGACTGCTACTGTTATAAGAATCAAGTAACATCAAAGAGCTTCATATACTGCCAGATGCTAAGGAAAAGGAAGGTGTCACAAGGATCCTTTCTATGTGAAATGATCTTCATTAGCTGGGCCACCCAGCATTTTGAGTGACTCAGTCATTTTATAAATTTCCTGTAATGGTTCTGACACATTACTAGCCATTCCTCCACTGAAACTGATGGCCACACTGCCATATATCTATCTGATAGAGACTCAAAGTCCAGGCAGATGAAGTGATTTTAAGTTATACATCTATCCCTCTATCCCCTCAGGTCACATTCTGCTGAGGCACACAGACATTCCTTGTCCATCATAACAGAAGAATTAAACTGTTTTGATAACTTCTCTTAAACCACTTGCCAATTTTATCTGTAATTTTTAATAAGCTTATTTTAGAACAGTTTTACATTTGTAGAAAAATTAAACATTCTCCAAAATTCCTACAACCTGGGCACCCCTTTTCCCCCATTATTAACATCTTGCAGTAGTATGATATACTTGCTACAATTCATCAGCCAGTATTAATATGTTATTATTAAAGTCCATAAAGTATTCAGACTTCCTTAATTTGCATCTAATTTCCTCTTTTCTTGGCTTCCCAGGTGGCGCGATGGTAAAGAATCTGCCTGCCAAAGCAGGAAACATGGGTTCGATCTCTGGGTTGGGAAGATCCCCTGGAGAAGGAAATGGCAAACCCACTCCATTATTCCTGCCTGGAAAAAACCATGGACAGAGGGGGCCTGGTGGGCTACAGTCCATGGGGTTGCAAAGAGTCAGACATGACAGCACAGAATGCATTCATGTCTTATATTTCAGGATCCTATTATTAAATTTAGTCATGTCTCCTTAAGGCTCCTCTTGACTATGGCAGTTTTATCTATGCTTTTTAAAGATGCATGATTTGTTTTATCCTTTCATTTCCTATTCTAAAACTTCCATTCAGTGTCAATTGTACCATTATCTTTTGATCTTAATACTTCTTTTCCCTGTTCAAGACATCTATCTGTTGATTGTTATTCTCACATATGACTCAATAGAGGATTTGGTGGTGGAACTTTTGAGGTTTATCCTAATTCATGTAGTACAGGGTCCTGGGTGGGGAAGGCAGTTTTTACAATATATTTCCGGATTTGAAAATAAAAATTTTACCTTTGACAAGAATGACAACTGCTATTCTTTCCTGAAACAACCCATAACTCCTCTCCCACCAACTTTCCCTTTAATTTCTATTTTACCCTCTAGAACCCATTTTTCTTTTCTGTCATTAACAATTTCATTTTTATTCAATATGTTCCTTAGAGAAAATGTTTAACTAAAAGCTTGGTTGATCCTAATAAAACTTCTCTTGTAACCCTCCCAGTCATTTTTATCTCCCTAAACTCTTCCCCAAAGGGAAATAAAGGATGCATTATTCATTCTACTATCCCACCACCCAATGTTACTTTCCAGCTGCTGTTTTATTATCACCATGGTATTGATGGTATCGCCATGGTATTGAGGTTAATACCATGTAAACATCTCTCATCAAAACAGTCAGAGTCACTGGGACACTGTCTCTCATGCCATAAAGACTTTCACACCTTATTTCCTTCTCCTCGCTCAGCTCTTGTCATCCTGCAATCTGTCCGACATGCTGGTCTCACGATTCCTTAACAACTTCTCCCTTGATTTTTCTATATCAATCTATTTTATCAACTTCTTTTACTACATCTTTGACTTTCTTCTTTCGCCATTCATTGCTAACATTTAAATCCCCTTTCCTGACTTCATTCTTCCATCTTCTTGATTCTGCTTCTATACCAACCACTTAAGCCATTTTTAGACTATATGATAAATCCACTTCCCTTTCTATTCTCCCTTGATTAGACTTTACTATGTAGCTGGAGCATTTTGGCTTACTCGCTACTTATCTGT